ATCTATGTCTTAAGGGAGAAGGGCGTGGTTTGGCTCTGCAGGAGTGCTTACACGAGGGGCGAGATGAAGGCTATTATTTTTCTCACTCTTAAATGCGCTGTGATGACACAGTTAAACAGCACCTCACCTGACGGTTTACCAAGTGCTTTGTAAAATGGCACGAATTTTTGCAAGTATGGGGTATTGTGGGCTTACACAAAACCGAACAAGTGCATCTTTTAGGCGACCAACAACTCCAACTTACATGCATCTTTTTGGGTAGAAATTCGACATTAAAGTATGTTATCGTGCTTGATCGGAGTGGGAAGACGTAAAGTACATTTTTGCTTTTGCGAATTATGTTAACCGACAACAGTATTGAGAACTCGAACAAAAACCACTGTTACGAAGAGACTTGGCATTCTGAAAGAACCATCAAGAGATCCGGTGGCAAAAGGAGATACAAAGTTGGTTAAACTGATGCAAGTAATTCTTCCACTTTGCATTGTATCTTAACGAAAACGCATATATTTTTTCAAAAGTCAAAGAGGCTCCACATGGTAGATCAGCCCCGCATATAATCAGGTCGAATGTTGCAGCCTCAAAAATTGCAAATTTGACCCGAATTTTTGAACAAATTAAGGCCAACGTTTAGCAAAAGCTTATTTCACGTTAATAAGGTCTTTTGTTTTCGATTATCACGAACGCAATTTATTCCAACTGTTTGACGATGAGGAACTAAACTGTACAATTTTTGGATGTATAGTACAAAAGCGGACCGACTTTAGTTGTGTTAGCGCTTAACATTAAATGTTGAAAGTTTGGTCCAAGTCTGCAGGCCAAGTTTAAAGACCGATGAGTGGACGCAAGCACAAAAACGAGTAGGAGCGCGCACACGCAGAAGTAACACCCGCACACGGAATGCACACACCTGTGCACATGTGTGTGTGTATGTATGTCTATCCATGCGCACATGCGCGTTCTCTTTCTCGCTCATATGTCGTTGACGTCGGCGGCGAGGATACACAGTAGCGTGTGAAAGTCGCGTAGCGTGGGAACCAGAATGCACACTCACACGCACGCTCACCTGCACATACACGCATACCTGTACACGCATTCATTGAAACGCAGGCG